CTCGGATACATATATATATATATATCATTATATATATTAATATTTATATATATTTATATTTATATTTATACTAGTATATTTATATACTATGAACAACTAGATGGTAGTACTGGCCTATTGTGGTAACCAAACGTTGTACCTGATTGTGCGGAGGAAGAGAAAGGAGACGTTACTGTCCTTGTGATCTGTCATCACCATCGTTAACCATCTCACCTTTGTAATTTATAGTATTGTGGGTGTTCTTTAGTGAGAATCTGGTAAATGATACAGACTCGATATTTATTACGGTAGGCCTACATTAATTTGTAGAATGAATAACCGTGTCGTTGCAATCGTTTTACGATGTCTTGACAGAAGTGTGGCTGACGCGTGTTCTATACATTGTTTTCAAAATCAGGCTCCATTTGTGCATGCTTGCAGTTGTTTTCCTCATATAGTGTATATTTTTTATATTTGATTTTTTATGTATTTTTTTTTTTTTGCTCTGTCTACCTTTCAGTAACAGAAATCAATGCATACGACATCACCTGCCTAATTTAAATTAATTATAAATTTAATTAATAAAACATTTTGTAAATATTTATGATGTGTCTTGATTCGCTGCAATTAGATGTAGAATTGATGAAGACAGGGAAACGAGAAAGAAAAATATAAGAAAATAAGAAACATACGAAGACGAAGATGAAGAGGAGGAGGGGCGGTTGAGGAATATGAGGATAAGTATCTGGATGAGGAAGAGGAGAATGAAGAGGGCTAGGGAAAAAGGATAAAAAGAAAAAAAGGAGAACGGGTTTTAGCAATTATGAACCTGTTTTATGACGTTAAAAACTAAAATAATGTAAGTATATAAAATACAACAGATTGAAGTCTAGCCTTAACATTGAGTGACGAAAGCACGATAAACTTGCTCATGACCATATAGATTCATTTGTAGTCTAAAAAGACCATTCCATCTAAATTATTACATTCGGCTAGATCAAAGAAAGACTCACCTTGACAGGATGCAGGTAACCGTTCACTTGCAACCGATGTTGTCGTTCTGTATCTTGTAATTTTTCTCCACTCTCCATGTCCAATGTCCTCATTAAATGAGCAATGTAGGTAGTTGCCAAAACCAATACATCTAATTTGGAGAGTTTTGTATCCGGTGGTACTGAAGGCAAAGTTCTCTGTAAATCTAGAAACGCGTCTCGTAGCGTTTTAACCCGCGATCTTTCACGAGCAGCGTTAGCCCCGACTGACCGTCCTCGTCCTTTCTTTTTCTCATGTTGCTCCTCGTCGCCGCTGCTTCCATCGTATGTGTCGCTATGTATAATCAGTTTTCTAGGCCCTCGTTTGCGACCTCTCTTTGGTTTTTCAGCCTCCTCTGTATGTGTTTCATGTCTCTGTCCATGGGTTATAGCTGTTTTTGTCATCTTTACAGCAGGTGATGTAAGGTGCTCAAGTTCACCACGCAGTGTGATAAATGTTTAAAACGATGATAATACAAGTACTGTACGTTTAATTCGTTAACAGTGTTAGATGTTTAAAATATTAAAAATAAAAGGAAATCGTAAAAGTATTTTTCCAGATCACTGGTAACACGTTTTCTTCTTTATTATCATGCAACAGTAGGATTGGAAATTAAAGTTAACGCCATTGCTTTTAAATGTTTTTAGTTTCGACTTTACCATTATTCTATACGGTAGGTTTTATATAAACATTTGCACACAGCTGCAAATATTCTGAATCTCATTCTCTTTAAATTAGCAAATGTGTATGCTGTAATATTAATTATAACACTGTATTACATATTTTTAATCTGTATTATGATAATGTCCTGTGATTGATTGTAATGGATTAAGTGTTCAATTTATCGGAAAAGGTTTTGCACGTCATTAAACTGCCCTCTTGAGAAAATGAAGGATGCCGTTAAGAAATCGAAGTCTCCATAAGTCAAGTGGGAGTTGAATGACTGTCGGTGCATAAAAGCACCGGATGACAACAACTTTTGAAGTTTTAAAGTAACTGTACAGATATTTAAATTCTTAAGTCGTACTGTATATTATTGTTATTAATATTATTATTAATATTATTATTATTATTATTATTATTATTATTATTATTATTTTATTGTATACAATATAATATTATATCGTAGGTCTAGTATAAAATCTCATTGAAATGAATATGGACATATGGATATAATTTTGTATACATAAATCATAATTATTAATAAGAGTAATAATAATAATGCTAATAATAATAATTATTATTATTATTATGATTATTATTATTATTATTAGACCTATAATCATATAACGATAGCTGGATATAGTATAATATCTCGGCCTAAATACATATATGTACACTGTAAAAACAGCGTGGAGCATTTAAACAAAAAGCTCCACTCAACGTTGTCATGTTTTTGGTGACATAAATGAAATCCAACATTCCAAGCATAATAACTAGCCTCTTTTCAGAAGCATTTAATTACCGAAAATGTAGAAGTGTGCTAACATACTATAGGTATGCCATCAATAAAAATTAATGAATAAGTAAAAGAAATGAATAAATAAACTATTAATAACAAATCGTCAAACTTAGTTTCCAGTTCGAAAGCGAGAGAACCTCATTCAAGTCTCATCATCATTAACAACAAAAGAACGACCGACCATCAAACTACAGCTTACCGGTCCATTTACAATATTGTACACTGTTTTCCCTTCAAACGCTTGTCTTTGCATATCGAATGATTGCTAGGCCCATTAATCAAGAGAATTCGTTCGGTGTGCACGCGGCTTTGGGGAAAATTAAGCCCTGCTAACGATTGTCCATGTCGGTGTAGGTTGATTAATTACCGTAAGTCTAGTGCGAGGAAGGTTAATATTCTAGCGGTTCTTGTCATCTTCTTGGTGTTCGTGTGTCCGAGAAAACAACTAAAAATGTGATGTAATGTTACCTGACAGACAATAATAATACCTTCGGTATGCTAACATTATGAAACACTCCTCTTCCATGCCATCTACAATAATTATAGATTTCTAAATATACAATAAAAATTAATACTTGATGATATTAATAGTTATGGTAATGATTAATATTACCAAAAATGACAATAATCGTTCGAATAGTGTTTTTCTTTTTTTTTTTAATTATTATTATTATAATACCGTACCTAAGACAGTTATGATATTATTCATGATATTGATAACAATGATATTTGGTGTTTATTATTTTTATGTTTAGGTCTATTAGTATTTTACCTACATTCAAGTCAGCATCATGCATTACCTGCACTCATTAGTATTTTATTATATATATGCTTATACGGTAGAACCCAATGAAGTTGACAAATTCGGGGCCAAAAAGTGTCCTCTGAATAAGGATTGGCCAAAATGTTAAATGATACACTTTCCTTCATTTCATGGCGGTAACAACGTCCCCTTAGTAGGTGAGTGTTCCCCTAAACAGCTACCTCAGATCATACCTCCATGCTCAGCCAAGGGGTTCTACCACAGTATAAAAAACGTAAAGAGATAAACTCTCAATCGTCTTGCGGTATCATGTAATAGGCCTGGTATATAAATTGTAAACGGTAAAGTCGAGATACATAGTAAAGTCGTGTTTACACAATAATTGTGATACACGACATTATTAAGCCGTGAGTTTCGATTCAATTCTAATTATTTACATCTGTGACCGCAGGTGATGGGATAGTATTAAACAGTCGTCTTACCGCCGCATTCGAACATTGAGTGTGAATAGGCCTACCGTATAATCTAATGCGTCTAAACATAAAAGAAATTATATTTTCTCTGTGGTCTAAGCAACATTATTATTTCTTCAAATGAATGGTCTGAGGTTAATATATAAATATAATATGAATACTATATTTATATCATTCATTCCATATTTGGATTTATACACTTCGTTTTGTTTTTTTCTCGCTTGGTGTGGTGATTTGTAAATCTCTGCACGGACACCGGTTTCATAATTGCGAAGATAAATACGAAGCCTGTTACAGGCCCACAATCCAATAAATCACATTTCCACATCGTTTGCTATAGAAAGTATTAAATATACCTAAAGTATTAAATAAATAAAAATTATTATTATTATTATTATTATTATTATTATTATTATTATTATTATCATCATCATCATCATCATCATTTTTTATTATTATTATTATTATTATTATTATTATTATTGTTTTATAATAATAATGATAATTATTATTATTATTATCATTATCATTTTTTTATTATTATTGTTTTATAATTATTATTATTATTATTATTATTATCATTATTTTTTTGTTTGTTTTTAATGTTGTTTACTTTTGATGTTACTATTAATTATATTATTCTCTTTTGTGTTTTTGTTTGTGACGTGATCCCGTATAAAGGATAGTTAACTGGGTTGATAGTTAAGTTGTTAGATAATCAAATGGATAAATCATGGAGTTATTATAGAACAAGTATATGGTTGAAAACCATCAAAAGAAATTACTGTATATCGAATAGAAGACTAAGCCCACTATAAGTGATATCTTAATATGTAAATCCTCTTTAATAAAGACAACTAGAATATAAATACTGTAGGTATTTATATTTTCAGTAGTATCTAATGATTGCATTTCGTTGAAAACTTCGAGAAGTTACTCTTTGATTTGAAAAGATCATCTCAGGCCAATCAAAATACACAAAATTGCTGTCATTCGAAGAAGCAGCATGCATCAGCTTGCAGGTGGGTCTGCTCTCAGCGGACCAAATGCAAGTCGCAGTCAAAGGCGAGTTTATTACCACCACCATAGGCCTAGCATGATTCCGCATTCCTACATAAATACTATTTTTTGGTTCCATCACGTGGTACAACCCAAAGATAGCCCGCGGACAACGGCGCAAATGTAACAACACAAGTTGTACATGGGAAGAACACCAACTCAAAACCGCTAAACAATGTTTGCTACACAACTTCCTGATTGGTCAGATGTGTCTTTTCAACATCCTCTTCTGATTGGACAATTGCATACGATTTTAGACATCACCCGTGATTGGTCTAATGTCCATTTAATCAGAGATCATCCAATATAGAATCCGTGACTGAATATCACTGAAAATACTGCTTGTCTATAAGATCAGGAAAATTGTATTACCATTACCCAATAATGCCTATACTGGGAAGGGAAGGTACAGGGAAGGTCGGTCTACATCACCTCAGCCCCAACATCGTTGGGGCTGAGATAAGAACATTTATGATTACGGAACCTATAAATGGCCGAAAATGGCCCTCTCAGGCTAACACCCCCCCCCCCCTCTGCAGGTTCGAATCCCGCCAGAGAGACTTTTTACAGCATATATATAGTCAAGTATATGATTCGACATCACGAGAGTGCACAATGACACTTAATATGATGTAAAGTAGGGTGCCACGCATGCTCCACATAGATAATCGGAAATAAGTTTGAGCACAAAATATCTCGATGTTAGTCGTTGACTCTTCCAACATAATATTTCGTACATATTTAGTACCATATTATTAACAAATATTTCGTACATATTAGTTAAGTTGATAGGCCTATTTTTAATTTGTAGTCGTCCAACACTGAAGATAACGCAGGCGCGTTCGAAATATTTGTTTTATAAAATTTTACGTTGCAAGAGTTCAACGACTAACATCGATTTATTCTGTGTTACAAACTTATTTCCGATTTATGTATATATTATATAAGAAGTCAAAACAAGTTCTGTATCTGTCTCAAAATAAAATATTTATTGTCCTAGTACTTTCGACGATAGGTCTTCATCAGACCGATGATGACCTATTATCGAAAGTACTAGTGCAATAAATATTCTATTTATATATACAAATCTGTCTTTGCAGCAACATTGACTTACTTTGATGTGTATATATATATAGTGCTCAAACAATATTAAAGTATTTTACAGTATAACCCTTATAAAGGAGACGCCTTCGGTGTTTCAATATAGACAAGGAAGGACATAATAATAGTGTTATGATTCAATAAAGGAAGTTAGAATTGAATAGTAATAGACTAATAGAAGCAAACAACGGATCCTGTACCGGATCTACACGCATTGAATTAGCGATTCAGCGTATCTTTAGACCCGAACGACAATGGATCCATTGCTCCGAATCTGAGCCCGGATCTCGTTCAGGACAGAAATTATACCACGCAGATGTGGACGATTCTAGTTTGTACCCACTTACCACGATTTCCAGGCCAGACCCACCCCGGTCCGGATTCTGGGCTTGGCGTGACTATTTACCGTCTCATGACATGATGAATGTGCGATGTGCTTACAAGCGCGTGTGTTTGTCTTTGCCTTTGTTGAAGTGGTATGGTTTAAAAGAGCTGTTAAAGCCAGGGGCGGATCAAGTAGGGGGAAACGGTGGCATATCC